GTTTGTATACGCATGGAACACATTGGACTTAATAGGAGTAACTGTAAAGATGGGAAAGAGGGAGATAGTTTTATATTTTACTTTATATGTTTATCTGTTTTAATTTTTTTGTTTTAATTTTTAATAGGCATGAGTTATTTCTGTGGTTTAAGAAAACACAATAAAGAAAATTAAAATTGAGTTCATTGTGAAAAATAACTTCTCAGAATGCTGGTAACTCTCAAATCTGTCTCAAAGTGGTAGTCAAATGCCCCGCTGGGGGCATAATGTTGTCTACCAATGCAGAGCCTATACTCTCCAGATGCTTTTTAAAATCTTTCCCCTCAGAAGATATTTGCAAATGACCTATCAGATAAAGGGCTAGTATCCAAGACCTATAAAGAACTTATTAAATGCAACAGCAAAGAAACAAACAATCCAATCATGAAATGGGCAAAAGACATGAACAGAAATCTCACAGAGGAAGACATAGACATGGCCAACAAGCACATGAGAAAATGCTCTGCATCACTTGCCATCAGGGAAATACAAATCAAAACCACAATGAGATACCACCTCACACCAGTGAGAATGGGGAAAATTAACAAGGCAGGAAACCACAAATGTTGGAGAGGATGTGGAGAAAGGGGAACCCTCCTGCATCGTTGGTGGGAATGTGAACTGGTGCAGCCACTCTGGAAAACTGTGTGGAGGTTCCTCAAAGAGTTAAAAATAGACCTGCCCTACAACCCAGCAATTGCACTGCTGGGGATTTACCCCAAAGATACAGAATCAGTGAAATGCTGGGACACTTGCACCCCGATGTTTATAGCAGCAATGTCCACCATAGCCAAACTGTGGAAGGAGCCTCGGTGTCCATCAAAAGATGAATGGATAAAGAAGATGTGGTCTATGCATACAATGGAATATTACTCAGCCATTAGAAACAACAAATACCCACCATTTGCTTCGAGGTGGATGGAACTGGAGGGTGTTATGCTGAGTGAAATAAATCAATCGGAGAAGGACAAACATTATATGGTCTCATTCATTTGGGGAATATAAAAAATAGTGAAAGGGAACAAAGTGGAAAGGAGAAAAGATGAGTGGGAAATATCAGAATGGGAGACAGAACATGAGAGACTCCGAACTCTGGGAAATGAACTATGGGTGTTGGAAAGGGAGGTGGGCGGGGGGTGGGGGTGACTGGGTGACGGGCACTGTGGGGGGCACTTGATGAGATGAGCACTGGGTGTTATTCTATATGTTGGCAAATTGAACACCAATAAAAAATAAATTAAAAAAAGAATCAAAATAAACTGTAAAAAAATCCTTCCCCTCTCTACATTAAAACAAATATATCCGGGACATCTATCAGTAGTTTAAAAATAGCTGAAAGACAATTCCAGGGTGTTACTAATATCTTAATAATCCACTGGTTATAACCATATCCACCTAAACAATCACATATGTGTGGTATACATTTATAGACATTCACAAGATATGATATTCACAACATAAAGATTTAATCTTTATATTAGAAGAAAACAAACGGGAATTTATTGAATTTTCATAGGTGACATGGTGTGATTTAATACTTCCAATTTTCAACTGTAGATTACAAGGACCACCTTAACAAGAGGTGAAGATTGATGATGTTAAATAGTAACTGATTATAATGAATCATTGTCCAAGTCAGTTTGAATGGATTTCCAATTTATAAAATATTGTTGCTTTTATTTTTCCTGCCTAAATTCCATTTTTCTAATAGAAAAAGGGAATCAATTTAACTCATTTTAAATGATAAAAGAAAGTAAAAACTAAAAGTTTTGCTTTATGAATCCATGTCATTGTCTGGATTGTCATTACAGTTTATCAAAAGAAAGCCATAAAAATTAGCGTGAACACAGTTAAATCACATTTCAGTGAACAGAAGACTGAAATGGAAATGGAAAAAAGTAATTAAAGAAGTGACAATTCATTTTGCTTGGGTTTCAGAAAAATTTAATAACAAATTATCATTACTCATCAAACAAAAATAATCCAGAAAAGGGAGGAACTAATCAACATGTAGGGAAGAATGCATTGCAAATACTAGTTTCCTCCTGCTGTAAAAGTATACGTCTCTCAAACTCTTACGAAAGCTAATTGATAATACATCTTTATAGTCATAAAACTGCCATCCACTGATACTCTGCCTCTGTCATGGGGGTATCCAAACACACAAAATTTATAGTTGTGTCCAGGGAGAAATATGCTTGAACTATTGAATACAAGTATTTGATTTTTGCAACAAGTCAATTCCCACAGCAGACATGAATGCACCAGTTTCTTCTGCTTTGGTGGCACCAATATCTAGCTAAATCAGCTTGTCCCTGATTTACTAAATAAAGTATCATCTGATGATAATTTGGTTTCTGATACAGATTGATGTTAGGGAGAGAACGTTTTGAGCATCAAACACTGGTAACCTGACCTACTTGGTAATTATCTTTCTAATAGTAATAAATTATCATTCTTTTTTATTTTCAAGAAGAAATTATACCCCACTTTATATGTTCTTTTCTCTGTAAACTCAGGAATGCTCAATAAACAGAGGACTCTGCTCAAACAAAGACTTTGTATTATTATGCTTACTCTTTCACTTTTTGAAATATAAATGGTCAACAGGGCCAGAGAGTTACACTAAGCCCAACTCAATGGTGGACTGAACTATTTGTGCATGAACCTCTAAGGTAAAGTGACCCATCCAATAGCCCGTCCTGCTCTCCCCACCTCCCTTTCTTCCTCTCCCCAGGCCTCTCCAAACACACATGTCGTCCAAACCCTTACCACAAGGCCTGAGGAGGACCCAATGGACAGAATCAAGTGTGGAAGTACACCATTCTGAAACATGAATATCTGTTCTCCTGCTTAATACCACACCTCGGGGCAGGGCAGATCAGGGACTATTATCCTAGTTCTCTGCACCCCAAGATGGCAGTAAGATAGTTCTTGTTTAAAGGCAAGGAAGAACCATTGTTCAAATAGAGAAACCAGGAAAAAAAACCTTCAGTCTGGAAGTGATGTAAAACTAATGTACAATGATAATATTGAAAATAGTCATAGTCATTCTTAGAAAAACCATTTTCAAGGGAATTTAACAGAGAAATTAACCAAAAAAGAGGTATAAACACAAAATTTGCCTGAACCACATCAATTTGCTAAACCAACACTTGGGATATTTATTGAGACAAGGCAAGTAAAATACAAATTTAAAAAAAGAAAGCCAGTTTTCTGAGCCTTACAATATTATGCTTTGGGTGACAATTTATAAAAGAACTATACTCTATTTTTTTTTTGTAAAATTACCTTTGAACACATTTGACTGAGGGAGATCCACTCAAATTCCTAAAACCATTAGATAAGAACAAAACCAAAATATCCTCTGAGTTTCTAATTTCCCTGGTTTCTCAGGACTGCCATCATCTCTAAAGAAAGAACACTGCCTCCTCTCTGCCCCCATGATCTGCCACAATCCTAGAGCTGTACCCTTCCCAAAATGCCTGAGAGTAGCAGTCGCCAATATGAAAACATCAGGTCATCAGTGTGTGACTTGACCAGCCATATGGCCTTCTTGGACCAGGCTGTCACACATCTGTCTCACACAGCACTTCCCAAAGTCCAGGTGATTAGGTTCCAAATACTACCAGGTGTGGGACATCAAAAGTACACACAGGGCACATAGGGCTGTGCCACGCTAAGAGTAGTTCCTTCCCAGTTTCTGTTCAACAAGACTTCCAGAAAATTTTTGGCATCCAGTCACACCTTGGGCCACCACATTACCACAGCAATGAGAATTATTATTCTGTATTAAATGCCCACTGGTGCTTGACCTAGTGTCATGGGAATTAAATGGTCACAGAGGCACAGAGAGCCTGCAGCCAGTCATCTCCCAGAAGGAGGAAATAAAGATAGAAGTGGGAGGGAGGGAGAGGGGGAAAGAATGGGAGGGAAGGAGAGGAGGAGAAATCTGCCAAGAGCAGATGGATGCTAGTCAGGCCTATGCCCCTGCCATGTGGTGGCTTTTTATTACTTAACCTCATTTTTACCCACCTTTAAAATGATGCTAAGTAATAAGTCACTCAGCACCCCAAATCCAACATGGCTTGATGTGAATATTGTTTTTAAATGTTCAAGCTCCATACCTGGGTCAGAAAACAATTGTGTTCTCATTGTCTCTAATTTCTCAAGTCTTTCCAATGAATATTTTTAGGAGAAAATTAGAAAAATTTTAAATCAGGCTCCCAAAATTTATTTATAGTATCATCTAATTTTACACATAGAATATATAGAAATATGGATAGTGAAAGTGCCTGAATGGGTATACACTCAGTTTCAATTCTCTCCAGCTGCCACAGTTCCTTACAAAGTTCTTGGCGCCTCTCCACTCTTACAGTCTGTACCTTTTCTCTGGGAAACACATCTACAACCATGTCCTCAATTACCATTCATCCTCTGGTGGCCCTCAAATCTTTTTTTTCCCTCTGAGTGCCAGCTGAATACATTCAAATGACAATAGGCTGTCTCCATCTGGATGTCACATAGATACCTCAAACTCAATTTATTTTAAGTGGATTAGCCTTCCCCTCCCAAATCTCTTTCTCATACCTAATAATAGAGCAAGAAAAATGTTAGTTGCCTTTTCCAGTGCCCACCCATGAAACTAGTGTCAAATGAGTCTCCACTAGTATGTGATTCAATAGGGTCACCATATGCAATGACTTTAAGCCAATCAGTTTCTGATCCTTTTATCTAATATAGACAACATTAAGATAGGTACTATGGAAGCCTGGGGCTGGAAGCAGATGGTAACTAAACAGAGGATTTTACCCTTTCCTGATCTCACTAGGAATATGTTGTAGAGGTTGGTGGGATCATGTCTGAGGAAATACTGAGTCCTTGGAAATAAGAAAACCTTATTCCTTTGAGAAGTTATTTTAACAGTTGTCTTGCAGGAATGACAGAACTCTACACACTAGTCACTTAATAAATGCTAACCTTTATTGTTATTATTTATTAAATGACACTGACACACGGCAGAATGCCCCCAGCAAAACAAAGGTCAACCAAAAAAAACTATCAACCCTACATTCTAGGGAGTTAGGGGTGCTCATTTTTCTTAATTAACTGCTCTGTGCTAGAACATTCTAAGTATTTTGCATGTATTATTTAACTTAATCTTCATGACAAGTCCCATCTTCATCACTCGTCTATCATTTCAGAGAGGAAGTTTCAACCTATCTCATTTTTAATCTAAATTGTTTTCTACTCAGTACATGCTCCAATCACCTGCTTCATTCCCAACACTTTCTTTTCCAAAAAAACAATATTCATTTTATATAAATGAGAATACATAAATGAATAAAAAGTAAAATGGTAAAGATCATTCATTATCCTTCCACTTAAATATACCAGTTACTGTTTGGATATTTATAATTCCACAGTTGTTGTTTTTTTTAATTCCACAGTTGTTAATGTCTACTTCAATATATGTTTTACTATCTTTGAAAAAGAAATAGAATCATTCTATGAACACTGCTATCTAACCTACCTTTCTCATTTAACAATGCAGAATGAATATCTTCTCCAGGCAATATGGATTTGAATCGACATATTTATCATATATACCTTGTGAACATTCCTTAACTTATTTAACAAATTCAGTGTGCTAGACACTTAGGTTACTTCCAATTCTTACTGTTTCAGACAATGCTGGGATGAAGAGCCTTGTACATACAGTCTTTAGCCAATTACTCAATTATTTCCTTAGGACAAAGGGTTTTTACATGCTTTAAGGCTTATATGTATTATCAAATGGCCCTCCACAAACCTGTGCAAACTCAGTGTACTCATTCCTACAACCAGGGTTTGGTAGGATCCATGTTTCCACACCTTTGCGGACACTGCATAGCTGGTGAGCGAGAGACCTCAATATGAATTCCAATTATTCTTTCTGGTCAAAAATATTTCCTGGCTCTTTGTGTTCAGTGGGATAATATTCAAACATCTCTCTACAAACTGGCTTCACTCAGCTTTCCAAATTTATTTACTTCCAATCCCCACGCTCTCCACTCTAAGGTGACTAATCTCCTCCCAGTCATAGGAAAAGGCGTCCTACCTCTATGCCTCCTACCTCTAACGCCCCTTCACTCTTGCTTTTGGAAAGCCTAACTACCTAACCCAGTCAGGACTCATTTTCGATGGTTGCTTCCTCCAGAAGTTTGTAGCTATTATATTCCACAGAAGCCTTTGCTTCCTCTATGCTCTGAGAGCACACATTTGACAATGAGCATACGCTCCAGATATTGTTATCTTTTTGTTTGTATATTTCTTATCTCTCCAACTAGATTATAAACCAAGGACAAAAATGCTTTCTTTCTTTTTTCTTTCTTTTTTTTCAGCATTAACACACAACTTTATTGATGATACACGAAGTTAATGCAAATGACAGGAGGGAGCTTACTTATGACCGACTGGTTCACTGTCACGCAAAAGAAATAGTAAAAATATTTCAATCTAGGCAATGAGATAAAAAGCAACAAACATATTTTCAGAATAGGTAGTGATATTCATTCATCCAGCTTAGACTTGAAAACCAACTAAGCATTGATGATACAATGATATTCATCACTCAAAATTGCAGCTAAAAGGATTCTTTTACCATATAAACAAGGTGGAGAAAAGGAATAGTTCACAATGTGTGTTGCTTCTAAACTACAAAATCAAGAAGTCATTCCTGGCTCTTTGGGAACATACGCTCAGCCAGTTTGGCCATGAATTTTCCAACTTTTACTTTCACCAAAAAATCATGGTGACTTTCTATCCCCAGAATCTTGTCAGCACACCCTTGAAATTCTTTTAAAAAGAAAAACAGTGAACCTTCACTGAATTGATCCTGAGCAGGTTCAGTTTCTTCACATTTAAAATTGTCATTTATGTTCTCAAATATGACCAGAAGCTTAAGAATAACCTCTTTGTTCTCCTTCTTAGTAAAGAGGGAGCCCAGTGAAGATGGTACTTGGGCTCTGAGCAGTGCTCTAGCCATGGCTGGATTTTCAGCCAAATTCAAAAGGAGTTTCAACACCTGGAATTTGGTTTCTTCATTTCCCGCCGAAAATAAACGAAAAAAGTCTGAAATGGAATTAGCAAGCATGTGCTGATACTCATTAGTAACAGTCATATTTGTAAGCAATCTTAGTCCAGCCAGCTGCACTGATGAGTTCAAGCGAGAAGTGATTGTGTCATCACACACTTGATTCATGTATATCTTAAGCCTGCGCTGATTTTCAGCGTTCACACTCAAGTTATTCAGGACAATTAAAGCCTTTTCCTTAACTATCGGATCCCGAGTATTGAGAATCTTTGCAACAATTGGGAGACCACCCAGATCACGAATAATATCTCTGTTAAATGCATACGCAGCATTGTTACCCAGAGCAATTAGAGCCGCTTCAAGAATATAAGGCTTTTCAGACATCTCAACCAAGCAAAGAACTTTCTGCAGCTCTTGAGGGGACAGAATAGTATCGTCAGAATTGGGGGAAGCCCGTTTCTGAACAGCCCGGCGAGCCCGAGTAGCCCTGGCCCTTGCTCTGGCTCTTGCTCTGGTTCCAGCCTCAGTCCCAATCCGGGCCCAAGGTGGGTACCACACTATACCCTTGTTCTCACTGTTGTCATCATCATCATCAGACCAGTCATTGTACCTAGCCCCAGGACAGTCCCCAACATCATCCACATCCCCAGATCCACCCTCAGCCATTTTCTCCTTGTTCTGTTTTCTTCCCCGTGTCAGTCTGTAAATGCAATAGCAGGCTCCAGCCCCAATCACCAGTCCCGCAGTCACCCAGCCTACTTTCCTGGCGTAGCCCATGCAATCGTCCCTGACAACAGCAGGGACCAAGGAACCAAGTATTCACTCAGGCTGGGAGAGGAGGGCTATGGGCCTGGGTGCACGTCTGTGAAAGGTGATCGTCTTCAGCCACTTCAAGGCCACAACAGCTGACACTGGAGGTAGACCTGGGGGTGGAGGAAGGAAATGGGGTTTGAGTTTCTCTTTTGTGTTGTCCCAGGCAGGGAGTTGCACAGGAGGACAGAAGAGTAAATGAGTAGCCAGTAGGAAATGCAGATTGTTAACAAACCCTATATATACTCCCTCTACCCTCCCTAGCCCACCCCCTCCCAGAGCCTAAATAAAGGAATGGAACCCTTAGTGTCTGCTGGGGCCTGGGCCAGCCCCAACCTCAGGTGTCCTCAGGGAGTGGCACTGTTGCACTAACCTCCTCCAGACAGGCAGTTTGTCCCTTCTTCCTCCCCTGGAGGTGTGCCACGCCCAACAACCCTTGCAATCTGCAGAGAGACCAGAACCAATGAGAAGGGAGGACTTGATGGATTGATTGTTCACATTCCTAGCTTTCCTGATTCACCATCCACGCTGTCAGATTTTTTTTTAACCTCTATGCCATCCAAAACATGCAGAAGCCTGCCCCTTTCCTAACCTGAAACGGAAGGGATGTTAGGGAAATAAGGTCGGATTGGATGAACTCCTCCAACTGTGGCTGATTTCCAGGCCCTCCCCTATTCCAGGCAGACCCCACGCCTACCAACCTCTACTGATCCGAGGAAACTTCCTCCCTCGCCTCAAGTGGTGCCACCTGCTACAGCAGACCTGCAGGATGACAGATCGAAATCATGGGGACTATGTGCTGTTGAGAGAGAGGAGGATTATGAACAAACTCTCTGATAGGTTCCCCTTCTGTCATTCTTCCCCACCCCCACACCCCAGCCCTCCCCTCCCGCAACACACATACACACACACACACCGAACGCCATTTCACCACAGTCCCGAGAGTGCAAGAAACACACTCAGACTCAGCCCTAACCTAGATTATTGCCATCTCTGGCTTCTCCCTACCCCCACCACCGCCCCTCTTAGGGTCTCCAGATCGTTTTACCCTCAAATCGACCTTCACGGATTGGGGTTAATTTCCTTCCTCTTCTCTTGCCTGGCGTAGTGCCGCAACCTACGGAAAGACTGGCAACCCGGGAGAGGCTTGGACCCCCTAGACACAGAGCCACGGTTAGGAAGACACAGCCACAGTCAGAAAGACGGGAAACGGCCGCTACTGAGTGCTTGGTGGACGACCAGTCCCCAGAACATGAAACTCTTTCCTAATTCAGGGGCCTGTTTGTCAAAGGTTCCCCACCCCTATTAACCCGTCTTAGGGTTCTGCTGACACATCACGTTGCACCTTCCCCCTCCCCGAATGTCCAGCCTTTCCCCGCCGGCGCTGTCCTGAAGGACCGGGGGCCAACACCCAGGCCACGGCTCCCTTTCCGGATTACGGCCTCAACTCCCCGCAGATTCCCCACTCCCGTTCTCTGGGCTCCTCCCCAAACAGCCCCCTGATCACCATTTCGCAGGATTGAAATGGGCTGCGGGCGGGACAGATGTCGGGGAAAGCTGTTGGCGAGGGGAAGAGACGGCGGAGGCGCCTCAGGACCCGCGACGGTCTCCGCCCTACGCCCTGGCCCCCCCCCCCCACTTTATGGAATCTCCCAGGCACTGACCTGCAAGGATCCGGGACAATTTTCTTCTTCTCCTCCTCCTTCCCTCTGCCGCAGGCCCGCTGGCCCTCAGGGCACTGGGAAGCTGGTACTCAGACGGGAACAAGGACCAGAACAAGAAGGACTTCTGCACACGTCAGCTCTTGGTCACGTGAGAGCTACGTCATCCACCAACTCGGGTCCCTAATTTCCCCTCCCACCAGCAGTGCGGCAGAGGAGAGCCCGCCCCCCTTCTTTCCCTCCCCCACACCAGGCCTGTTACTCTTTCTTCTTTGGTAATCCCATCTCTCCGTAGTTGTGTTTGCCTTCCTCGGATTACCAGGAAGGGACAGCATCTTCCCCTGGGGCTACTGGCCACTTACACTTTTTGAAAAATTGCCTCTTCCTTCCCTAAACTCCTGGGACAGCAACCTCTCCTTCAGCCTCCCCTCCTCCCAGCTATTAATGTCTATCATTTCCTCTGAAATCTGGTCCCAGATCTGAAACGAAAAAGCCATCAGAAAAGGAGACCTGGAGTAAGAGTGGTTTTTTGTTTTGTTTTGTTTTGGTTTGGTTTGGTTTGGTTTTTTTGTTGTTTTGTTTTTTGTTTTTTTTTTACTTTCTTAAATACTTCTTTTGTTCTTTTTGTTCTGCCCTCTCCCGCCCCCAGCCTGCATTCTTTTGTGGAAAAAAAATACTATAAAGCTATTTTCATTTGAGGGGGAAAAAAGAGTGGGAGTCAGAGTGATGTTGGGTGATGGCCTCCAAAAGCCCCACATTTTCTCACTCGTGGGGAGTGTTACACACTTCACTCCAAACAATCTTAATGTCTTGAGGCCTAGCACATAACACAACCCTGAGCTCATTAGAGTGTTTAAGATTGCATAAATCTTCTGACTAGGCCAGTGTTCTAAACAGGAGAGCTACACACTTTCCCTTGCATGGGTTAGCAAGGAAGAGGCATGGAGCCCTCAGAAGGCAGTAACACAGAAAAGGCTGAGTAGAAGTCCCAGCTACATAGTGGGTATCTGTCCAAAAAGCCATGCACACCGACAAAGTAAATAGCATAAAAGAGAACATTACAAAATATACTTGAGCACAAATAGAGAATATCGCCTTTAAATAAAATAAGTGTTAGAGAAACACTGAGACCAAGATTAAATTGGCTGAATGCAGCCTCTAGTAATTAGTGTGGAACCGTTTCACTGATTAGTTTGGTGAGCTCAATGATCCACCTGTCAGCAATGATTGAACTTTTTTTTATATTTTGGGAAAAGTAATAAAATAGTCTCAGAACATTGGGATCTACAATGGGATAGTCTTTAATAGTTCAGATATAAGGTTATTATCTGAGTATAACTTTCACAATCCACAGACAATGTGGGAGTAAATCACGAGACTGGAGAGTTTGGGAATAGGCAGAAGTCAGAGAAATTCGTATCAGTGGAACTTCTAGGAGGCAGTACGAAGATATGACTGAAATTTAGCAAACAGAAAACCAAATCGACTATGTGATTCTGTGTTCAGAGAAAGATCATGTGCAGCATGGAGCTTACTCGAGCATAGGAATGTATGAAAAGAAGAGTCAGAGGAAAGTGTTCCTAGTTCCCACCCAAGTGCTGTCTGGGAAGGAGAGGGAGTCCTGGCTAAGATGAATGGAACATTCAGCTTTCCTTGGCAGAGCCATCCCCATAATGTGGAAGAGTACTTCAAGCTTCCTTAGCTGAAAGCCACTACTTAAGGTGAACCAATGCCCTTGCTCTGATTTCAGGCTCACTAAGCAACCTTCTGAGGTTGCGGCTTCCCACGTAGTAGCTTGCTTACAGGGAGAATGGTCTGGTAAAACTTACAGAAACCTCCAGTACCCTCTGACCATTGTATTTCTCAGGGTAAATTATTCAGTTGTCACTCCTAATGGGACTTAGCTTCCCTTTTGGCCCACTGGAAGAGAGAGAATGCAGAGTTAATGCATGGCTTCGGCTGTTCAGATCTAGATTTTTTTTAAGATTTTATTTATTTATTCATGAGAGACGCACAGAGAGAGGCAGAGACATAGGCTGGGGGAGAAGCAGGCTCCCTGGGGGAAACCTGATGCCGGACTCTATCCCGTGATCCCTGAGCCACCCAGGCACCCCTAGATCTAGATTTATATGTAAGTCTCTATGAATGGGGGTCTTTCCTTGATAGAGACCTCTGCTTTCAGAAAAAGTCAGAGGTTGATCAGGCAACAATGAGGGCAAGACACTGAGCTGTAAATACAACCCTGTGGAATCTTGTCTGGAAAGCCAGATAACTTGGACTTAGACTACAATCCTCTGTGTTTACCATTTCTGAACTGTACCTCTCTGATGTTTAGCTAATGTGAAAATTACAACTAAGACATTCTGTGGTACATAGGCTCCCAGCACCTCATTCATAGCTGGACAATGGGTTAATATCCAAAGTAGTTAAAAGGCTCCTGCAAATCAACATCTGAAACAACTTTATATTTCACTCTGGGTAAAAAAACAAAGTGCATTTTACATTTTAAATACCCCTTTCATTCCCCCCAGCAAAAGGGTAGGCATTGAGACCAAAACAGACCAACTCAATACTCTCTTACTAAAATTTAAATCTTGAATGCAGATTAAAAACAACAACAACAACACCGAAAATCAGCGGAATTATGGCATCCTGAAGAGACCGTCTGTGAATTCCTCCTACCTATACCCCTCAGAGCTGACCCTAGTCTTCTACAATCCCTCATTGTTTTAGTTAACCTAGTTTGGTTTCTGTTGCCTGCAACCAAACAAAATTAACTATTACACAATATGAAAACAAAAGCAAATACAAAAAGTAACGCAGCTTTTTAAAATAACAATCTTCTATATTTTTTTCCTCACTCTCTGCAGTCCTATTAGTGTTACCATCTACTGATGCTTTTTTGTTTGGGGCACTCTCTAAGACACCTAGCCCATATGACCACATACCAATTTGAGCCAAAAGGTTCCCTTTCAGCAGGGGCTTCACATAGCCTTCTGCAGGCTCAGGAACTTTTAACAGGCTTGTTGGAGGAAATGCTTAAGGATTTTCCTTTCCTTTCCTTTTTTTTTTTTTTTTTTTGGCTTTTGAAACAATCTGTCAGGCAAATAACATGCCATTAAATAGTTGTTGATGGTTGTATAATGGAGAGCAAAGTAGATTTTAAATGCTAGTTTCTAGGTTCCTTGGTAGAAATTGTGGCTTTAAATGACAAAGAGGTGAGATAAATTGAAAGGGTGAGTTTTAAAGAAGGAATGGATTCAACTGAGAAAGGTCTGACAGGGAAGTCTGCCAAACTGGGAAAATCTTAGTTGGGAGTTATACATTGGAATAAACTGGAAAATTTACTGAAGTGGGGGAGGGAGATATTTTATACCAGCAAGGAGCGGGAAGAGTGGCACTTTTGTTCTTGAAGCTGTGTTAAGCTTTATATACTGCTTCGTTCGTTCTAATGTATATATTCAAAACAATCAAAACCCACTCCTATAATTACTTAGCAGCCAAAAATTGAATGATGGACAGTTAAATTTGTTAGTAAGGCTTCATAAATCGAATTCACTTGTCTAGGAGAAAAAAAGGGAGACAAAAAGAACAGTATAAAGAGATGATGCAAAACAAATGTGGTGAAGGTTTTTAGAAAAAAAAGGGTGTGAGACTGGGGAAAGAAGTTTGGACTATAAAAGTTTTGAAGATCAGAAAGCTGTGATGCGTACTTGATTTGCGAATATTCACCAGCAGGGCCCTCTGGGCTCCCTGGCTCACCTCCTGAAAGGGCCTCCCCCACACCGGGGCCCCTCACAGGGGGAGCTTCCTGCCGGCGTGTCATATTTCAACATTCTAAGAAAGAGGCTGCCTGAAGGGTCTATATTTAGAGTATGACTCCCTAGCAGGGACAGCTGAATGTCTGGGGACTAACTTCTGCATACTTTGTCCCTGAGTTCTGAGATTAACCTGAGGGGCTTGTATGGGTGGTGCAGTGAAATTGTAACAAAAGGCAGGGAGTGAAAAGGCCTCTTTCTCTTGATGACTGCTTGGGAGCAGGTGAACCATGCTTTTCGTGAGGGACAAATAACACAGATCTCAGGGGTGTTGCAGTGATTCACAGTCACCCGTAGACCCTCACCACTGTCTCCATTGGAAGATGTCAATGAACTCTAGCTGCTGCTAGGATGACATGTAGTGTGTGAACAACAAATCCCAGAGATACTCTCACTAGTGGCATGATTAAATGAAAATGTCATCTGTTGAGTCTCATTTTCATCAGTGGGATAACAGGGACTTCTCTAATTTATGGGTTACATGAATGAAAGTTTAGAATAGTTTTTAAATAAAGACTTTGAATGAAAACGGGCTAATCTGTGAAGTTACTAATTTCTACAGTTCATCTGAACAGTTTAGATTCATCTGAATTTCGGATCTGCTGAAGTCTGTCCTTTGAAGCCAGAGTGAAAGCCATCCAGTAATATTCTATGAAGTTTTCAGCCATCTGATACTTAATACTATGAGTTTAGCCAGGAATAAGAAAGGGATAATGATTCATTCATCAAAAATGGCAACTATTAAAACACTGACTACCTCACTATAGATTCATTCTATCCATCAGTATATAAATCATATTGAAAGCACACTGGTTTTGTTTGTAAAGGTATGTTTTTAAAGTTTAATATACTGTTTAAAAGCTGTTATTCCCTGTGCAGTCAGTAGAAAACATTTTCAACAGGGTACAAATCAACTTAACCAAATCAGTGAGGCCTCCCTATCAACTGGGAAATCTTATTTATTACATACATATATACACACACACATATGTACCTAACTTGAATTATTTTTTTCTCCAAGTGAAATAGATTGATTTTATTTTCTGGTGATAAAATAGCATAGCTTGCGTCAGTAAAAAAGGAAGGATGAAATAGAACATAAAAGTATCAAAAATATTACTAAATTTCTCACTACTACTTGAGCTTCCTTTTATGCAACCTCCCACCCCCAATTTTTGTGCAGAGACTGGATGTGCAAAAGGGCAGAAATTAAGGAATGGCGGAGGGGGGGATAGGAGTTTCAGAGCAAAGGAAAGGATAAGAACCCCCCCCCCCAAGAAATCTGAGTAACGGCAGACCCAGGAAAAAATGCAGTACCTTCGCGTACTCAGAGAAAGGCAAATTCAAACATTAGAGAGCCACTGGCCTAATGGTATTGTTATAGAGGAAAAGAGTGACAGGGCCCAGTGCGAAGGGGGGTAGGTGCGGGGCAGGCTGGCGCCTGCCGCACTGCTTCTGGGAGTGGAAATTGGGGGCCAGAGCTCACTGGTGACGTGATCGTCACGTGACCAAGAGCTGCCTAGAGCAGAAGTCCTGGTAGCCGCCTCCGTCTGGGTACCAGCCCCCTATTACTCTGCAGGCGTGTGAAGGAAGGAGGAAACTAGCCCCGGACCCCGAGGTCGGTACGAGCCTGGGCTCTGCTTAGAGGCGGGTGGGAATAGGTGAGGGCCATGGGTGCCTCGGATCCCGGTTCAGGCTGATCCGGGCTACGTCCCCTTCCCGCCTACTTTCTAAATACCGCCGCCCCCCTCCCTTGTGCCCTCTTAGTAGAGAGAACTGGCGGACTTCGGGCGGGGGTGAGGGCAGTTAACAGCCTTTGACAAAGACTCCGAAGAAAGGTACCACAATCTGGGTACTCGCGTCCCGAGTCCTGCTCCGCCCACCAAGCACTCCGTCCCCTCGGTTCCCTGTCCATTTGCAGGTCTCTCGGTCCGTTGGCCCATAGGTCGCCCCAAAAGTCGTGCTGAGGGAAGGAGCAAACTGCCTCGGAACCTTGCAGATCCGGGTAAAGGTGGGATGATCCCTGGACCCGGGATGGGGGTGGCGGAGGACGAAGGGCTGGGATCTGCGCGGGCCGGTCCCAGTCGCCCTCTCCTGGCCCCTTCTTTTTCCACACCCCCTCCCATTTCAGTGCAGGGAAAGGGGTGTGGCGGCCTTTGCTGGGGAAATGGCGGACGATAATGGGGGGAGATGGGGGAGGAACCCGCGTTTAGAAAATCGGGAAGGTGTGAGAAATATTTTAAAGTCAAAGGCCGAAAAAACAGAAAAGCGGGCCTTAGGACCTGTGTTCTCAGCGCTGATCACATCCACCCCAGTTTCAGTTCTCCAAAGCCGGGTATCTTGACATCCTTCTGCCACACTGTTCATCAATCCCTCTGGAAGGAATACTGACAGCAGAAGACGAGGGAAGGAGAAGAAATTTACCTGACTTTGGTGGAGGTTGGTGGGAGAAACTGCCCGTGAATCTTTGGGGGTGGGGGCGGGGGTGGTGGAGGAAAGTACCCCAAGTGTTTGCCTCTCCCAGCTACACTCCTGGCTATCATAGCACAGCCCCATCCCCTGCCCTTTTCTGTAAGGCCTGGAAGGGAAATAATGGGTGCTGAGGGTAGAGGATGACAAAAAGGAACAAAGAAATAGTTTCCTAATAATCCATCTGTCTCACCCAAAACTCAGACTCCACTATATTTGTGTCATGAGACACAAACTGAGACATGGCACAGGCCCTAATACCATTTTGAACCCATAGATCATGAAAAGAGAGCTACAGGAGACTTGGGGAGGCTGAAGAGGACTACACTACACCATTGTAAACCCTGGCCCTAAGAATCCTCTTCAGTCAGGTGGAACAAGACCCTCTCTGGTCCTGTCCAAAGGCTGGGACGCACTTGAGCATGGGCCGGGCTCGGGAAGTAGGTTGGATGGCAGCAGGACTGATGATTGGGGCTGGTGCCTGCTACTGTGTTTACAAACTAACCATAGGAAGAGATGATAGTGACAAGTCAGAGGAGGAGGAAGAGGAATGGGACGATGACCAGGAGCTGGATGAGGAGGAACCTGACCTTTGGATTGATTTCACAACTATGGCTCGTCCCTGGAGTGAGGATGGGGATTGGACTGAACCTGGGGCCCCTGGTGGAACCGAGGACAGGCCCTCAGGTGGGGGCAAGGCCAACCGAACATACCCAGTAAAACAGCGCCCATTCCCCTATGAACATAAAAATACTTGGAGTACTCAAAGCTTTAGAAATTTCAGCTGTATTCTTGACCTCTCCAGGCATCCTTTCATTCAGGGAAAAATGTGGTTTGCTCAGCTCAAGGATGCTGGGTTTTCATTTAGCCACGATATCAATAGTCATTTGGCCAACCTCTCCATTGTTGGAAACACGATCCTCACTCCCCACCCTGCTATTAAGCAGAAGGCTCTGGATAACTTGAATGCAAGTGTTGAAAATCAGGGCCAGATTAAGATGTACGTCAATGAAGTGTGTCGGGAGACTGTGTCACATTGCTGCAACTCATTTCTGCAGCAGGCCGGATTAAATTTGTTAATAAGCATGACAGTTATTAATAACATGCTTGCCAAGTCCGTTTCAGACGTGAAGTTTCCTTTGATATCAGAGGGAAGTGAATGTGCTGAGGTTCAGGTTTTGAAACTGTTGATAGGTTTGTCTGAAAAGCCTGTCTTGGCAGGGGAATTGCTGGGGGCCCAAATGCTGCTCTCCTTCACGTCCCTCTTTATCAGGAACGCCAACAGACAGGTTCTCCCCCAAACCCTGGCCTCTTAAATGGCCACCTCGAACAGAATGGAACCGAATCCACCCAAAACCCTTCTGGTGAACACACACTCGTGTCGTTCTCATGCAGAGAATCTGCAGTGGATGCCATCGGAGATCCAGCCTTAGCCAATCACCACATCATGGGGTGAAAGTTACACTTGCTAAATCGAGGACCACACTCTTAGGGGCCAGGCAAGGGTTCTCACAGAGCTTTGAGTGACTCCTTGGTTTTGCAGTCAGTCTGCAGGCAACGTGCATTGTCAGTGACTCCCTTGCGGCCTTCCTCGTGTGGCAAAGGGATCCTTTCAGCTGCCAGCTGTGGCTACAGAACATCATATTAGAGCATCGCGAGGGATGCCTTGCCTGTGCTGGTCTCCCTGTCTAAGCTGGACCGTTTTGGGGAGACCAGACGCATATCGGGCTCGTGCTGAAAATGCATCTGTTGCTGCTTAGGTTGAATTCTTTTTCCTTTACTCCTCCTTTGTGAGGTGATGGATGGTGAACCCGTTGATCCAAAAAGTACACTGCCTTTCTCTGTGCTGTACTGACTTAACTTCACCCACCCAAGCCTATGTTTGTATGTATCATCAATAAAGTTGTGTGCTTTGATTGACAAAAGCAAGACATGGAACTTGTCCTTGAGTTTACAGTCTACATGCAGAGGAAGACAAAAATATGCAACCAATGCGACCTAAGTAGGGTGCTTGCTCCCTGACAGGTGCATACTTCTCAGTGCTCCTAGGAGGCAGGGGGAGAGGCTGGCTGCATGGCTCAATATAAGCCTCAAGAAAGGGCTGGGGGCTGGGGGCGGAAGCAAGGGAGCAGAGGTGGGCTGTGTGGAATTAGGACTCAAGGAGACAGCACTTGTGAAGCAGGTGACTCAGACTCTGGCGCCTGGAGCAGAGCAATCCCTCGATGAAGATGCCTTTCCTTAACTGCCAGCCTAGACAGAAGGTCAGTATCCTTGGGGTTTGTCTGCACAGCCTTGGGGACCACTCAGCAGTGCACCTCTGTGCATTTAATGCACAAGAATGGCAATGACGGTTGTCCCTTGCTGCGTGGTATAGTTCTCTCTGTCCTGCGAAGCAGCTGTTAAACCTACCTCCAGGCCCACTCCCTTCCTTGGGGCCCCAAGCCCAAATCCCTGGCAGAGTGAGAAGGGTTGGCCCCACTTCCTTTGGGGAAGCCTCCTTTCTGGTCTCTCCCCGGTACCTTTAGTGACATCCAAGAAGGGGCCAGTGAAGCACCCCCCTCCCCATGAACTCCCCATCAGGGTGGTAAGGCAGACGCTGGGGTTCCTGGCAGGGCTATGGCTGGTCCATCGGGAGACAGCTCTGCCCCTCCCCCCATCCAAGCTCCTGACACCACTTGGAGGAAAGGAGGAACCCAGCCCTGTGTACAGAACCACTCTGTGGATCCGGACGACTCGTGCTGCCACCCCTCCCAGCACTGCCAGACCCCTCCCGGCAACCCTTGGTCCCTGCATCACCAAAGCCAGGTTCCCTTCCCTTAGGCAGTGCTGTCTCTGTGCCTATTGCCCTCTCCTTGTCTCGCTGGGATGCTGCTCTGAGCCCTGTGCCCTGGGCATCAGCACTGTATGTGTGCTCTGCCCTCTGACTGCTCTCCTCCACACAGACCATAGTCTTATTTTTTCCTCCATTCTCCTTGGGTCTGGGTTGCGGGTAGATCACAACTCTTCAGCTTGTACCCATCTGCCCCGCACTTTGGGCTGACTAGCAAGTGCGGGTGGTTGTCTGCCAGCTCCCAGGACCATCTCTGGGGAGTCTTCTAACTTGCAGTGGGGACACTGCCTCTTCCCAGGCACTGGCACCTTAGATGGCCAGCATGTGACTTGTGGTTGCTGTGACGCCACACCCCCAGCAGGGCGCGCGCGCGCGCGCGCGCGCGCGCACGCACACACACACACACACACACACACACACGCTGGGTGCCACCCTCCCTGGGCTTCCTCTGCTGACTGCTGGGTCCTGTCATGTTTGCTAAGAGTTGCTAATGCGACCACCCCTTTCTCCCAAGCCAGCCTCAGGTGGACTGGGCAATGTTTCCAGTCAGTTTGCTCTGCAGGCAGCTCCCACACTCACCTGTCCCAGTGGAGCATGCTTTGGTCTTTGCTGTCTTCAGCGACAGACACCTCTTTTACCTCAGCACAAAGGCAGGAGATTTTCTACTTCCTCCTGGCTGGGGGTCCCAAATTAACAGGCACTTCCCTGCTCCTCTGTGCTCTGCCAAATCTCCATTTGAGTGCTGGCACAGTTGTCCTCCATCTCCAAGGCAGGCACTTGGCACTTTTAGGCCACAGCTGACTTCTAACCCAGGGAGGGCCTTGGAGACTTTCTGCTCATCTCCTGAGCAACTGTCTGTCACAGGCAAGCCTTGGCATCCAAGGGCCTCCAGGGTGTGGTCTTGGCCCAAGGCAAGAGCCTCCTGTGCATCTGTTGGCCCTGCCCTCCCCCAAACACTCCCCTGTCTGGTAGCTCAGGCCCCCGGTCTGCCCTTTATCCCTTGGTTGGTTGCTGTGCCAGGGCAGGAGCCCTAGGGCCAGTGGAAGGGATTCGGGAGCAGGCCTGCCAGTCAGGTCCTGATTAAGACATTGAGAGGCTATCAGCACCAGGAAGACCATGGTGCCCCCTCCCATACCTAATTCAAAATGAAACAGCATGGGACCACCAAGCACCAAACTTGCCTACCTGCCTGCTGCAACTAACAGATTCTTTTTGGGCTTCTCCATGGTAAACACTTGACAAGGTCATCAAAGCTGCAGCTGTCACACTGTGTGGGGAAGTGCCCTGCCCTGATGGGGCCCACCCCAGCCTAGCCTGCCTCTTGGGTCACTCTGAGGGGCCTAGTTCCCACAGACTGCCTACCAGCTCCAGAAAAGACCTGGTTTTGCTTCTTTTCATCTCCTGATGACATCTACATTTGGTGCCTGTAAGTACTGGTTGCACACTAACTCCCAGTGCCTCCCCAGCTTGCTACCTCTCCTGGGGATTTTGTGATTTAACCCCCACACTCACCTGGCCCCCAATAAGTGCACACACAGGAGGTTGCAGACATCCAGCTTCCCACCGCATACATCCAGTCTCAAACTTTGCCTCCTCGCCCGGTTTCAACCACCATCCCCTCACTTTGATGTGTGCCACCCACAGATAGGCACAGCCCTCACCAAGCCTATGTCTAAGCCACCACAGCACCATTCGGCTTAGAATTTGACCACTGTGGCCATGACTGGCCCCAGGATCCCTTCTGGGGGCTCCCTTGGTCTAGGATTTAGATGGGTGCCTCACTATAGTCCAGCACAGTCCTGCAGAGGATTGGCCAATCAATCCCTTGTCTGCCACTCATGCTGCATGCATCACCCCACCCAGCCTCTGTCACTTCCCTCCTCTCTTTGCTCCTGGCCTCCTGTTCCCCCTGAGGGAAGACTGCTTTTCCCTTATTGCCTCTTGTTTTTGTGTGTGGCTTAGGATGCCCTCCCTCATGCCCTGATTACAGAAAGAGTCTTCTGTAGGGTTTCCTTTTTAAAAATATTTAATTAATTAATTAATTAATTAATTAATTAATTAATTAATTTATGAGAGAGAGAGAGCAAAAGTGTTGAAGAGAGAGAAGCAGGCTGCCCATCCAGCAGGGAGCCCGATGTGGGGGCTTGATCCCAGGACACCGGGATCATGACCTGGGCTAAGGGCAGCTGCGTAATTGACTCAGCCACCCAGGTGCCCCTCCTATATGGTTTGGTTTCTTAATGCCTTCACGCTTTTCCTTGAGGACCATTTGAATGGTAAATGGTTCTCCAACCTTTCATTTTCAGGCTGTAGGTGTCCTTAGGTCTAAAATGAGTCTCTTGTAGACAGCAAATAGATGGGTCTTGCTTTTTTATCCAGTCTGAAGCCCTGCAACCCTGCGTCTTTTGATGGGATCGTTAAGCCCATTCACGTTCAGAGTTACCATTGAAAGATATGAATTTAGTGTCATCATAATACCTACTCAGTCCCTGTTTTTGTGGATTATTTCTTTGGGTGTCCTCCTCTTTCTTTTACAGAGTCCCCCCTTAATATTTCTTGCAGAGCCGGTTTGGTGGTCACATATTCTTTCAGTTTCTGCCTGTCTTAAATGAATAACCCTCAGTAACCCTCGTCGTTAGATCCTCCAGTTTGGATTGCATCTCATTTAATTGATTTTTAATTTCTGCCTGATTAGATCTAAATTCTGCAGTCATGAAGTCTCTTGAATCCTTTATGCTTTTTTTCCAGAGCCACCAGTAGCTTTATAATTGTGCTTCTGAATTGGCTCTCTGACATCGAATTGTAATCCAAATTCTGTACCTCTGTGGCAGAGAGGACTGTTTCTGATTCTTTTGTGGTGAGTTCTTCTTTCTAGTCATTTTGCTCAGTGCAGAGTGGCTAAAAACGAGTTGTACTTGTTAGAAGCGCAAACTCTTCTCTCTGTAGCGTTCCAGCTCTTCTCTCTTTAAATCTCAGGTCGAATTCGTAGGTTTTCAGGATGATTTGAAAGTTATCTAGGTAAGTTGGTGGGGACAGGTGACTTGGGGACCCTACTCCTCCGCCATCTTGCCCCGCCCTCGCCTTCACGCTTTTCCACTTCAAGGGTTGTCTCACAGATCTACTTGGAATTCACCTTCATGCAAGGTGGGAGGTGTGGTCCAACTTTACTTCTTCCCCCAAATGGATAACAGACTAACCCAGCACCATTTATCACTCCATTCTCATGCTGCTGTGTGGCATGTCTGGGATGCTCATGCACCCAGCTGAGCATCCCCTCTGTGGCTCCCTGGTGTGAAGCTTCTCCTGAGGCACAGCTGTCTCCCAGGAAACTCTAACTCACTCAGGGGCCCTCAGCTCACTGGGGCCCCTATGGCAGGTGCCTTGTGTGTGAGCAGGGAGGTGGGTGTTGGTGCTTGTGAGCAAGCCTCTGCCCCAGGTTCCTTCTCAGGACATACTCCTGCCTTTAGGAAACTGTCCTCTGGCCTACTTTAACAACATGGGGAAGTGGGGACTGGTTTCTTCTCTCACCAAAATTACTTTACTTGTGTGAGAGAATAGCAAGTTGAATAGTGTGTTGTCTGTATTTTCATCAATATTAACTATGTTATTGTATCATACATGTGATTTTACATTTTCTAGAGTGTAAAATTATCTTTGTAATGATATACAAAGAAAGGCATAGCAGTTTCTATCTCTTGACAGATATATTGGGTTTGCATAGGAAAAATTCAGTGAGAGACTCATTTTTTTCTTGTTTTTTTTTTGTGCTTTTTGAATTTTGTACATATATATATTTCTATTCCAAAATAAATTTAATAAGAAACAATTATTGTTGATTCATATAAAAGTTCCTGGTGTAGCATTATAATTCTATAGTCATTTTTGTGAACTCTCTTGTTAGTTTATTTTGCTTCCTTTTTTCTGACTTTAAGTACATAAACATAATTTACAAATTATGACAGTTTTGTCTTTTCTTGTACAATATTTTATAGCCCATTTCTTTTTCTTATCTCATTGTACTGTCAAAGACCTTCAGAGCAGCAGTATTGATGTTACAGTGCATACTTGTCTTGTTTCCCATTTTAATGGTTGATGTTTCAG